TTTTTTTGGGGGGGGAGGGTGGCTGGCCGTGCGATACACCACTGCTATGTGTAAGACCCAGATTGTATAGCAAGGCCTGCGTGCACAAAAATTTAGCTTAGAAATCCGCATTTCGGGGAGAATTGGGCTTTGACTAATCTTATTTATGTGTTATGAATTACGATTCTGCACACCAATTTTCCATGCAAATTTGAGTTGACTTTTTAGGTATGCCTTAATTAAAAAAGGTACAGTATGGTGTGTACAGAGTAAAACAGCTGAGTTATAATATAGCAAATTTGAATCCGAAGAGGGCGAACAATTATCAAATTAAATGTTGAGACAAAGTCAGAAATTCGCACAACCAAGTTCGCAAAACTGGATCCTTTTTACGCAGTACTAAGTGGAATCCGCTCAAAAAAGTAGCATACTTACACTCAAACTAGCATTTGCTCGCATTAACTGGTGGTTCCTTTAGCCTAGATAGTAATTGTATCTCTATTTAATATTAGGAGGCCGGTTCCCTACTAAGAATAGACGGTATCTCTATGAGGAGGACTAAGGCCTGGAATGCTAGGGCCCCGGGCCTATGTAGGCCCTTGCCTCATATCTAGGCCTAGCCTGCCGTGCCGCGCCTAGGCCTAGGGCCTAGTATACTATTCTGGCCTAGCCTAGTAGGAGCCTATGGGCCTAGAAGCCCAAGCTGGCTTGGGCTAGCTAACCGCTTATCGTAGACAATACGTTATAAAATTGATTACCTTTCCCTACAGAAAAGGCATTTTTAACTCCTAATATTGCCTGCATGTTGGTGACAAAAAAGTCCTAAATTTTTGCCAATTGCGCCCCCAATCATCTGAAAACTCTCATTGCTGGTGGTGGCGGTGTTTATATTTACACGTTTGTTTTTGATGTGGTACGGCGTCAATCACGAGCTACCTGGAGCTAGGCCTAGCTACGTACTTACTAAGTAATAGGTGTAATTTACTGACATTTTTTACATAATGGCGGTGGTTTTTGATGTACATTTGTTCAATGTCGTTGTTCTAGGTTTAGCATTTATGTTTTTATTTACTGCGTTCCAGACAAGTTCGATGATTGAGGTAAATTTGTTTAGGAATAATAATAAATCCTTCCTACTACTCCTAGAGAGGAGGCCTAAACTAACCGAGGACCTAGGCCTAGTTAGGCTAGGTCTAGCTAGGACCTATCTAAGCAACACTACCTAACATAGGCCCAGCTATCGGAGATAGCGCCTTCGTGTCCTAATAAAAGTTAGAACAAAAAGTCCAGCCACGTTACCTAGGCCTACATTGCTGTTGTGTAGTCTAGACTACTCACTACACTGACCGTATACTATATTGGTGATAATATATAGGCCCAGGAAGTAGTAGGTCTAGGCCTAGGGCCCTAGCTAGTAGTAGGCCTAGTAGTAGTAGCCTAAAGTGTCAGGCTAGCTAGGCCTAGAGAAAACTGGCCTAGGCTAGGGCCTTGGTCACTAGGCCTAAACCTGGTTGGAGTGTCAGTGACATTTGATTTACCTTCAATGTTGTAACTCAACGTCCGTAGTAACTCACCATATACAGTATAACGCTACTCTAAGTTATTGAAGTGGCGTCGAGTGCTGGTGCGTCACTTCCCTTTTATTTTGTAAATCCCATCTCGTCTTCTGATACATTATCTTAAACTGTAAGGTACTTTCTTCAGCTCCCTCCACCACAACATAAACAATTCAATTTTCTATATCACATACCAACATCAAAATTCAAAACTGTTCAAAAGTTCTTTTACTGTACTGACAAAACAGACATCAAGTTTTTTGATGTCTTTATAAATTATAATTACATTTCGGACTATTGGATTTAGCATTATTTATGTTTTTGTCGAAATCACATGGTCTTCCAATAAAAAGGTGCAAGTCTTGTGTCAGGTCTGCTGTCTATGCAGTGGCATATCTAGAAGTCTTGTAATGGGGGTGCTGATGGTGGGTGAAGGTGAAGTGGGGGGGCCTCGATGATTGATTGTGGGGTGCTAATTCGCGATATAATTAGATTTTAGTTGATTTCTAACTACTTGACTGTGGTTTTTGGGGAGAGCCACGGGTGGGGGTGGGGCGCGAGTAATTTTTGAAGGCGTGTGCGCCTCCTGCGCACCCCTCTAGGTACGCCACTCTGGTCTATGAGAGCATATAACACCTACCCTTCGCCAACTTCACTGGTTGCCTGTTAGCAACGCATCCCATTTAAAAAGTCCCACATATTATCAGTGGCGGTCTGATATATTTTCTGGGGGTGGGGGTTGAGCTGTCCAACAGGGGGACTTGAGCTTGTAGGCCTGAGTGGGGGGAAGGGTTCGGGAGGGAGTTCCCCCTCCCAAATGAGCTTTTGTTAAGAATAGGAACCTCTGGATGGCCAGAAATGACACACTCTGACTGTGATAGACATGTGTTGGCTTGGCGTGGGCCTATTTTTATTTCTTCCAAATAAGCAATATTATTTAGAGCATTTAGCCATCCCTTTTCTACACATTCAACAATAAACTTTTATTTTTATTTTCTCCTCCGTCTGGATGTTTTTTGGGAACACCGTTGCTAAAATAAGAATAAGTATTACAGTAGTGTGGTTTATTTTGTTTTAAAACTGATATATTTCTTTTTCATTTTTAGCAAACTATCATCAACAGTTTTGACAATGAAACATACCATAAAACAGGACATCACTTTAAAGGCAGTGGCTACTACAGTTTATCAATCATCTATGCGATATTTGCAGCTGCTAATTGGATAGCACCTTCGGTGGTGGCGCTGATTGGTCCGAGGCTGTCGATGTTCTCCGGGGGAATTGTCTACACGCTGTTTATCTTGAGCTTCATTAAGCCAATGGTTTGGAGTCTGTATACTGGTTCTGTGCTTCTTGGTGTCGCTGCTGCAAGTATGGCTTTAAGTTTGATTCATTGTTAAAAAAGAGATCATTTTTGTCTCAAGGAAAAAAGTTAATAATAAAATAAAATTATTGTAGGAATTTACATTATTAAAAATTAACCTCCACATGTTGGCCATACATTCATATTATTGGATTTGGAATGTTAAATGGAAACTGAGTTGATTTTCCTGCTACTGGTATTAGGGTGTTAATGTACAGTATAGGTTGCATTCATATATATTTGCAATCAGTTAATTATAATAAATAAATATAATAAAAATAAATATTAATAATATTAAATTAATAATAAGTATTAATTATAATTAATTCATAACTTAACAACCACTAAAAGCCATAATAAAATCTGTTAATTATAATTAACTCATAACTTAACCACTAGAGGTTATAAAAAAACAATCAGTTATAATTAATAACTAATAATAAATATAAATAGTAATAATAAATATAAATAGGAATAATAAATTAACATTTAATTATGATTTATTAAATTAACTTAATAAGCAATTAGTAGAGCTCTGCATAGTACACTATAGGAAAATTATTATACAAAGGTTAGATTTAATGCTTGAAAAAATTTCCGTAGGGCCTGCAAGGCCCAAAAGAAATTTTTAAATGCATTAAATCTAATCTAAGTATAATAATTTTCCATACAATGCATGCTCTACCAGTTGCTTTATAAGTCAATCGCCGTCTTTTAATTCTAGTTTTTGATAACAAACTGTTGTAGCAGGCATCAGTTGCTATGGTGGTATGACCAATGTGTGTGTATTTACATTCAGCTGTGCGTATGCTGATTTTTGCTTCTGCAGTACGTATTAATTACACATGAGTCAGCAGTACTGTCAGTACAGATATAATGAATTCTATTGTAATTTGTATTGTGTTAGAAGAACTTGTTTGTAATCAGTGGCGGCACCAGCGGGGGCCTCCCCCCCCCCCCCAACGGTCTGGTCAAGCCCCCATTGGCCAAAGCTCGTCGGGCAGTCGGACCAAAAAAAAAATTCTCTTAAAGCATTTAAGAGACAGTCACTGACTTTTTGGTTTGTGCTGACAGGTAAAAATCATGCGATGATTTCATAACTACGCCAGGCTACTAAGCCTAGCAGTAGGATGCTTCAGCTGCCTCCTGCCTTTCCGTAGGCCTAAATCTTTCTTTTGTTCATCGAGTTTTTAAAATAGGTCTAGAATATTCCTATTAAACATTCAGTTTAATAGGAATAATAACTTTCTTCAGGTTCTAATTAACCTTGTTTTATGAAACTTTCATGAAAATTACTTTCATTGAAAGTAATTTTCAAGTAGGCCTGCTGTACAATTCAATTTTCATCATAGTGAGCGATCTTCGCAGTGACAATAAATTAGGTTATTTTTTTGGACACGAACCTAAAAAAATCAAGCCAAGCATCCACTATTGAAATACATTAAAAATTGGACTGTTGGGGATAGGCGAATAACATTGAAAATTGCAGTGATGACATCACGATTGACTTATAACAGCAGTAGGAGGCTTCAGCTGCCTCCTGCCTTTCCGTAGGCCTACATCTTTCTTTTGTTCATTGAGTTTTTAAAATAGGTCTAGAATAATATTAACTTTCTTCAGGTTCTAATTAACCTTGTTTTATGAAACTTTCATGAAAATTACTTTCATTGAAAGTAATTTTCAAGTAGGCCTGCTGTACAATTCAATTTTCATCATAGTGAGCGATCTTCGCAGTGACAATAAATTAGGTTATTTTTTTGGACACGAACCTAAAAAAATCAAGCCAAGCATCCACTATTGAAATACATTAAAAATTGGACTGTTGGGGATAGGCGAATAACATTGAAAATTGCAGTGATGACATCACGATTGACTTATAACAAACACTAGAGCTCATAATAATATCTGTTGATTATCATTAAGTATAAATAGTAATAATTAATTATTTAATTTTGATTAACTCATAATTTAACAACCACTAGATACAATTAAGCAGTCTGAATTACAATGAATACTAATACTATAATAATAAATAAATAACTAATAATAAATTACAGAACACATCTTCAGCCTTCACAGCATAGTCCACCCAGATATTGCAGGTCACATTTATCTTAAGATTTTGAGCACTTTGGTACGCAGTATAGTATCATCATAAAACATTGATTCTCATCATTTTCGGTATCTTTATTAATTTTGTAGTTATCTGGACTGGCCAAGGCAACTATCTGACCATTAACTCAAATTCGGACACCATGGCCCGTAACAGCGGAATATTCTGGGCCCTCCTCCAGTGTAGCCTCCTCTTTGGAAATTTGTTTATTTACTTTGAGTGGCAGGGAACAGACACAATAGAAGGTAAGTTCAAATTTTTTACTTTTATGTTGAATAAAAGGTAATTCCATAATTTTTTAGAGTGAGAGTGATTTCATCAATATTTTTGCTTCATGTTAAAGGCTGAGTGCAGGGGTTCTTCGGGTGGAAGAAGTCACATTTGGGAGAGCTGGTTTAAACATGAGCTTTCTTAAACACATCTAATTTTATTTTTTGTTGCCATGGTGCATAACCGATTTCTATGAGACAATTTATAAATAAACTAGTAAAAATGTGAAAATATTATGAATCTGCAGAAGATGGGTCATTTATGTGCATGCTTGCCGAGTGCGGGAAGCCGTCCAGATTGCAGGAGACTTGGGACCTTTTGTAGGCAGTAAGAACCTCAGGCTGAAATTTAGAAATGTAACCAGCCTACCGTCCCCAGAGGACACCTGTGAATGAACGACTGGGGAATGCGGTCCATCCAGGCTGACCTTGAAATTCTGTATTTTACATTACTGTATTAATGTCCTTAAAAACATAATAATAATAATAATAATAATAATAATAATAATAATAATAATAATAACAATAATATAATATTAATAATAATAATAATAGTAATAATAATAATAATAATAATGAAGTAACAGTAATTACAATTTTTTTAATTAAATGAAATATATTTAATTGAAATTCTAAGGCGAGACTCAAAAAAACTTTTCTTGTTTTAATAGTTTTGCCAAGAACGTCCCGACGGACAATAAAATAGAAATAAAATTTTATTGTTGAATGTAAACAGTGTAGGCCAATTAATGGGATGGTTAAATGCTTTAAATTAATATAAATAGTAAGAAATATATATATTTTAATATATTTTTAGATTTCAAGACAGCAGCAGGCATATTAAAAATAAAGAAAAACTTTCATTTTTTTCTGATATTTCCAGTTTTTCACATCGGTGGGTGCGTTAATTGGCCAAAAATAACAATTTATTTTTGTTTATTAATTTTTTTAAACAGTCTCACCTAAGGAACAGTCATTGTATTACTACCGGGTATTAGACTTACAGACCTAGCTACTGTAAAGGCCTTCATCATCCAGCTAAGACTCCCATTATCCAGTGGAAAGCAGCCCATGCCAAAGCCTCAATATGTATAAAGTTTATTTATTTTCCGTAATTGTGGTAATTTTATCTCTGAGCAATTATAAGTCAAACATTATGGAAAGAAAGGTTTTTTTGGAAAGCTAATCACATTTACGACTGTACTTTAATTCCATAAATTTAATGCTTAACATTATTGTTTCCAGATAGTATGCGGAGGACAGTATATATAGTTTTGACGGTCATAGCAGCCATTGGCGTGGCCCTGCTCCTTTTATTGCGGGATAAAAGACCAGAGGATACGAATAATCTATTGTCTGTGAATTCAAGGTAGTTAATCACTGGATATATTTATTCTATTAAAGTCAGATGATTTTTTTTTGTACAGATCTATTTTCATCTAGGGAAATTATTAGAAGCAAGGCCTAGGCAGATTGCTATATTTAAAAAATATATATATTTATGCAGGAGTAGTAGATATTGGTTCAATATTTAGGTCATGTTTTTTAAAAATGGTCTTTGATAGTTTTTTTTATAGCTAGCATTATTGCATTGACAGTTTAAAATGGTAGCAACTGTGACAGACCCCATGCTTATAGTAGCTGTTTAAAAAGTTGTAGCTAAATTGACAATGAATAATTTTTTAAATGCAGCAAATTACTCCAAAAAAGCAGCCATGATTTTAGCATGTTCAACCTTGAACTGCACATGTTAACAAAGCTCATTGTAAAAATGTGAAGAATAACTGAGTTTTAGATGGGCGACACAATTTAATTAGGCAATTCAAACTAAAGTTGCAACCCATTGACTCCTTACCCTGTGCACTAGTTGGGAAGAGCTAAGCCTATATCATGTTTACAATGTAATTTTAAATAATTATAATAATAAAATCTTACATTATGCAGTCAAGTTTAACACTGAATATTATTACATGTGTTTTCCATGTATATCAATGCAAAGTGTATAATGACAGATGAGAGCTAGCTACATTTCTATCAAGTTGTAATGAAAATATTTTCACAACCCACAGTTTACACAACATTGGTCTAGTAGTCTTCTCTTAGCAAATATTGGATAGTTTATGTAATATTGTGGTTTTGTTTAACCCTCAACATTTGAATTTCAATGATGGTATCCATAGTTATTAATCATATTAAATCAATTCTCCTCTCGATTAGTTTTAATTGTTGCTGGTAGTACTCAAAATTGTATTTTTATAAAATTCTATATTATTAAATTTATTATATGACATTCATGAATATTCACCGGTGTTGGTATTATAATGATTTAATTTTTAAGGTAGGAATTGAAATTCGTTGTTGGATTTTAATTCTTAAATCACTATTAAAATTATATGACAATTGACAGGTTTTATAGTCATTTATGTAAAGAATTTTTAAATTTTCGCTAAAAAAAGCTATAAACCGGGTGATTTCAACCCATGACCTTTTAATTGATGAATACTAATTATGTAATATATACTGTAAAAACACAGTTGATGGAATGAAAACAGCTGATATTATATTGCATCGTGTGCATGTAGTCTTAAGCTATTTCCAGACAAATTTTAGTTGACTTATTTGCCCATACAGTATATAGTCATGATAAGCCTAATATACGGTCATGATATGATGTCATCATGACCATATTTAGGCATGTCACATGTCACATGACATGTCAAATTAATTTGATAGTCTGGACGGAGCTTTAGTTGTTTTCAAACAAAAATATTAGTCAAAACATTTTTTTTACCCAAACCTGATTGACCCAAATTCTTCAAAATCTATAGGGGTTTTTTTTTTGGGGGGGGGGGGCTTTGTTTACTAGGGAAGAATCCAAAATACTTTATAAAAAAAGATATTATTATTTACTTTAATGCAATCAATTAGGGTACAGTATAAATAACCATGATAAATGTTGGCAATAGAATTAGTTTTTTTTTATTTTTTTATTTTTTTTTTATATGTTACTCTGCTTGGGAAACTCAGGTTTTTTTTAGCCGTAGTGCATTTAAAGCTCAATTGATGAAAATAGCAATGTAATTTAATTATTACTATTATTAAATTTTTTCTTTATGGTTACCATAAAAAATATGTGTTCTATTTAATAATTTACTAACTATCAACAATGCGCATACATAACGTTTTAACTACCGTGCAATATTAGTTTTGAAATCGAAGATTAATTATATTGTTTGAGTAGTTGTGAATTAAAACAGCTGATGTGAATATCATGTTTTTATTAAAGGTTATACTGTATATAAATAACTCTACAACTATTATCTGATTTTTCAGTGTAAACAGAGTAGAGAAACCATGGAATGCACTTGGTAAGATTTGGATTGATTATTGACATTATTATCCTTTAAAATATGAAAGTATGTAACAAAACTACCGGGGCTCCAAGAGCGTCTTTGGGGTCTAGAGTCCAGCAAAAACTAAGCCTTTTTATGTTAGTTAATTTGAAAAATTACATACATATTGTAACAATAGAGATTATGACTTGAGTAAAATACATTTTTTTTTATCTTGAGCTCCCAGTTGGGCCTAGATCCCTGGGCACTGGCCCTGCTAACCCCACCCTCTTGGTACTAAAATAATAATATATAGTGCTTAAAGACAAGGAAAAATTTTGCTGATATGTTGTACAACTGATTTGTCTAATTAAGACACAAAAAGCATATTTGTATCTCATTAACTGCTTCCGAGTTTTTCGTCAAATACGCTTTTGTGCTTTAGAAAAGTCAGTTGTACATAACACATCAATCTTTTTTTTCTTCTGGAGCCTGGCTTTAATGCCAACAAGGTCTCTAAGCACTTCACTTTATCACTCTCAGTCTTTGAATCAAGCACATGTGGAACACATACTCAGCTCCCTGTATAAAGTTGCATAAGGTTGCAGCTGTGTTTAAGCCTACCAGGTATCCACTTATTATACTCCTGAGTGGAGGGAGACAAAAGTGCGTCGCATATTAACACCAGCAAATGCACAGCATGGGATTTAACCTCCGACCTCAAGGTTGGAAGCAAAGCCAAGAGCACAACACTAAGGCTTTGCACTAACCATTAAAAGATTGAGTCTAAAACCGACTAGATGTAGTGTACTTCATGAAGGCTCATTGTATGTTGCTTTTACCAGGAGTATGGATGTGTTCATTGTAGGTTTTTAGTGCCAATTCATTAGCTTTAACATTGTGGAATGTTTCCCCCTTGCAGTGGTAGTATTTCATAGGTGTTTGATTCAGTGGAGGGGTAATGGTGTAAGGCCTTCGCACAGGGGCAGATTTAGGGAGCCGGCATAAGGACACATTTTTCCCAGTTTTGCTACTGCCGTCTTATATTTTTTAGGCGAGAATTTTTTTATTACTTGTTTCGGGAACTTTTTTTTTTTTATTACTTGAGGAGGGGGGGAAAAAAATAAAAATAAAGTTTTGTTTTCGTATTTAGTAAATAGTTTTGCCAAAAACATCCAGATGGAGGAGAAAATAAAAATAAAATTTTATTGGTAAATGTAAACAGTATAGTAATGGGATGGTTAAATGCTTTAAATTATATAATTTTTATAATTAGGAAGAAATATACATATCTTATATTTGTAGATTTCAATGCAGCAGAGGGCATAATAAAAATAAAGACAATACCTTTATTTTTTTCTAAAAATTTCTGCTTTTTGTGGCAGCGGGTACGCTAATTGGTAAAAAAATAAAATTGGATTTTTATTCTAAACCATCATTATTTGCGAGCGGAGGATTTGATAAACAAAATAAGGTATAACAAAATTCTCGCCTTAACAGGAAAAAAATACAAAATGGCATACAAATACTATTATGTTACAATGTTTTGTAACAGAAACACAGAACATGAAGCCTGCCATTTTTGCATGGATACATATCTATTTGTAATTATTACATCTTGGCTTATATGAAATTTGTACCTCCTCGTTTAAGAAATTCTAATTCCACCCCTACATTCAAATGATCTATTTTATATGACTGGTTATAGTTATTACTGTATTATCCATGAAATGTTTGTAATGTCTCATTATTATGTGTTTCTGAGGGTAGTTTTCTGATGAATGTAATTTAGGATCATTGATATCAAAACATTCATTCTTTTAAATTTCTGGTCCTTATGTTTTTGTTTTTTTATACAGTGCGATCTTTCCAACTTTTTTGTACCAAAGAACTGCTTCTTCTAAGCGTTTGTTTCTTTTATACAGGTAAGAAAAATTCTAAAAATTATCAAACTTTTAAAATAAAAATAACTACGTGATCAACCCAGGGACGGATTGCTATAAGCGGTCTTTAGATGGTCTTTACGGTTAGCCAGCTATAATCGTGAGGTCACTACTTGGTCTATGGTTATAGACAATTGCTATTGTCACACAGCCTAATATAGGCTCATACGGACATTGTAATTTGTCTGAACAAATACAACCTCAGGACGATAAATAAACCAAACTGACACTGTCTTACAAAAAGTTAAAATAAACTATTTAATATGATATAGTATATGAATTTTCCAATTATATAAAACGTTTAAATCAAAGGAAAACGATCTCAGTTATCAAAACACCAATTATATTCAGGTGAGTGTTTAACACTGAACAATAATCTATTATCTCTCGAGATTCACTGTTAATGGTAAGAATATATAGTAAAAAAAAAAAACAATAACCTAGGCTTATTGGTAATCCTCAATTAACATCAGTTATCAGATGGAAATAATTATTCTATATACCGGATTAATAATATTGTACTGTATATCACAATGAAAGTTACTGTCAATGGTAAATATTTAATGTTATGATTTACTTAACATTTATCTTCTCAAATTTCAATATAATACAGTAACAATAACTTCACAATATTAACAGCAATTTCAAAAATTTAACCATCATTGAATCATTATATTATTTTAACATTCCAAAAATTAATGTGAATAAAGCTTGGAAAAATGATTACAGAATTATAATAAATGAATAATAAATTTTGCAATTGACCAAAAACAAAAATTATATAAAGTTCAACTGTCCACTTTCAGACACCTTGCCCAAAGAACAATCGCAATCCCCCCACAGTTCACTTCTTTAATGCCATTCACAGGTTCTTCCTGGCTCAGTAAAATCGAATAGCTTCAAACACCAATTCACAAATTCTGCATTAAAGTGGCCTTCAATCCAAATTATATTCTGGTATCCGAGCTTATTAGCTCCATAAATGTACTAATTCTGGATTATAGTTATCTTCAATAACGTTCAGCATAAATCAGGGTTCCTCCCTGCAATCTGAGCTTATTAGCTCCACAAAATTCACTAATTTTGAATTATAGTGATGTTCACTTTAACTCAGGGTTGACTTCTCCCTGGTATCCGAGCTTATTAGCTCCACAAAAAATATAAATAGCTGGTACTTGTAAAAAGGTTTCCATCCAAATAATGCAATATTGATTACATTACAGCCATTCACTGGATGATCATTGGCATACATTCAGGCCTACCATTTTTATTATAAAATAACAGGCAAACAAATTGTTCTTATCTCACCTGCAATGTCTGTAGGCTGGTATCACGTAGGCATGGAACCTGATATGTTGTCTGCAATACAACATATATTAACTCTGGACTAACATGTCCTTTCCCTGCTATCTCACAAGCCATTCTCCCAACCCCCTTCATCCAGTTCTAACCAACACCCCACCAAAAATTCATATCTCATTACTATTCATGCACTCCCATCCAATCAGTGCTTCACACCACTAACCTAAACGCATTTGCATCTCTGCACTCATTTGCATTACCTCACTTATATTCATTTCTCATTCAGCCAATCAGTAAATCACACACCAAGTTTCTCAAAGAATACTTACCTCATTACCATATTTGACTAAGACTAGCTGCTGTGTGTAAAAGTAAGGTTAGTGGTTCAAAGAAAATACTTACTTATAAACTAAAATAGATGTCACTTGTGACACTTATACTGCGGTCTAACAAGTTAGCCGTCTTAAATTTTAAAGCCTACTTGGAGGAGGCTTAAAACGGTCTTAAATCATTTTCATTATGGCATTCTGCTGATTAATTCAGCAGTGCAATGGCAAGACCTAGGCCTAGATCATGAAAGTCGGAGAATCGAACGATGAATACTCCGCACACTTCTCAGCATCTGTAAAAATAGGTCTACAGCATTTATTTACGTTCATTTCGATACATTTGCATGCGTTGAGCACGCATGATGTCGCCTTCAATCTTATGTTACCAGGGAGTGCTTGTTTGTGTTTCAATACTCAAAGCGGTCTTAGGGAAGACTGTTTTATAGCAATGGTCTTAGAGGAATGACTTTAGTAAGACCGTCTAAGTGATAAAGCCGGCTTTATTCGAGGAGTTAAGACTACCAGTTAAGACCGTTTTATAGCAATCCGGCCCAGGGAATATAACCATTTGTGAATTCTAACGCTCTGTGTACCAATTCTGGTTATAGGGTTTGGGGAGTGATTAGTATTCTTCATGCTCTATACCAATCTCATAGTCATATTCATAGAATTCTTTGTTGTCAATTCATAATATATAAACTCAACAGATGCACAATGTCTCGCCTAGGCCTAGCCTTTGCCTCCTTTTTGCCTACATTTATTTCATTTATTTATTTGACACAAAGGTCCTCAAAGAAGGAGTCACCTCTCTGACTCAGTGAGCCCGAAGTGCCAATATAGCACAAAAACACACCAAAAATATATTAAAATTCTTTTTGAATTAAAAAAGTTCTTTGCCTGCTGAATGATGTGAATAACTCACAATCGTAATAATTTATAGCTAAGTCTGCGCAGTGCTAAAGCTACACAGATTAGGCCTAGGGTAGAAAATGGTTGTTAAAAAGGTACTGTAGTAATAGCTTAGAAATAGGCCCAGACATTTCTCTAGTGTTGTATGCAAGGCTTGATTCGTCATTGTGATTGCTCACTCCTCCTACTATCTAGGATCTATTTTTAGGCCCGTTTAGTTAGGGAGGAACAAATTTTCTGAAGCAGCCTAACTTGTCGACATGAGTTGACTCAGTTCTGTACACTTTCGTCACATGGCTTCGAAAATGTGAGCATTGTGATAGATGAAATTGTATATATCAGTCTGTCCATTTATCCAAATATAGAGTATAAGATTATGTCATCGTTGGGCATTCAGATACCTTCATTCAGTGTTTAAGTTGTTGGTTTGCACTGTTCAGA